GTATTTGGTAATTTGTGGTTAGAGTTCGATCTACTTACCGGCCCGGTCTGTTTACCATGCGTTTAGTGGCGCGTGTTAATTTAACTGGCATAGAAGATGACAAAGGGAACAAAAGAAGGTGTATACAGGTAGTTTTACAAGGGGAGTCAACCCCTCAAGGATCGTGACAACAGATATACAAGCAGGTGAAAATTCATTCAAAGGACAGTTTGACATTCATGCTTTGAAAGAAAGTTAAAAGAAATACAACCGCTAACCTATAAAAATTCATCGATAATATAATGACACCTGCATCGATCCAACATTACCACTTAAAGTTTGCACGATGAGACACCGGATAATGATTCAGCTATTGTTAAAAACAGGTATTGTTAGAAGATCTAAAATTTTTTTAACGTAGTTCCATTCGAATTATATTTATTGAAAACAATACGATCGTGTGTGTAGACATGCCCTGCGTTTGTTTATCTTAATTAACTCTCGAGAAGATTCAAATGATTGACTTTAAACCCAAAGTATTGAATTTTATTAAAATTCAAGTTCGTTACATTATTTGTTTCATTGTAGTACTGAAATAAAAAAATTTTTGTAGAAATTTCGTCAACGTGAGGAAATCTGTCACGACATTCGAACATGCAGGAAAATTATGCAGCGTACATTAAGTAGGTATGATAAAATACTATTACAAGGTATTGTTAAGAATATATTAAGAATTCTTTTTTGAAAACTTTCTTAGTACCGTTTGGATTCGAATTAATTTTCGCTGACATGTGTATCTGCGATCGTGCGGGTAGGAAAGACGTCGATTTGATTATTTCAAACAGTCCTCAAAAAAATTCAAGTGGCTATTTTTGGACCCAAGGTACTGTATTTTATTGCAAGACATTCATTATATTATTTGTTCTTTCACGGTACTGAAATGAAAACATTTTCATAGAATTTTCGCACAACGCTAGGAAGCCTCTCGCGACGTTCGAACTTCGAAGGTGTAGGTATATTAATAATATAATAATAAAAAATAATAAAATATTTGTAAATTTTATAATGAAGATTTTTTAACTTTTTACGATATTTTAGATGCGATTTTTTTCCACTTTGTTAATCAACTAGGATTGGATACGACCGTTCATAGAAAAGAGCTGCTTGTATATGTAATTTGAATCATCCTGAAGAGTACTTGGAAGTCTATTTGCGTCCTTGTAGAGGAACCCACGGTACTATTTTTCGTCACGATTCGTCCATCGTTTCATTCATTGTATCATGGATATAAAGTAAGGTTTGTTGATCTTACAAGGGCCATGATGCGTCGACACGGAACAGTGCCGTTTTTGAGAAAGTTAATTGTTTTCAAAGGATTGTATATTTTCTAAAGAATTTGAAAACGAAAACAATTTTCCCTCGAAAGATTGCCCAGCCAGATCACTCTCAACGGCAATGTTAGCCCACACGCAGCGAAAAGAGGGACCCATATAGGATTTATGAGCCGGTTTCCCGAATAAGGGATTCTTTGTGAAACGTCCTGCAGGTATTGTTTACTGGACGAAATGCTTGGTCTGTAGGCGTTGCATAATTGGGAAGCCGACCCAATTTTTTAATTTTTAATTAATTAGACAATCCTAGGTCTCACTTTTTTACATTTCCCTTCAAGATGCGACTTGGAGGGAGGATTTTCGAACGAAGGAGGGAACGCATTTTTAGACGAAAAGCATTCCTCCATCAGACAGAACAAATTCGGATCTCGAACAGTAAACATGTTTTTGGACGTAAACCTTCATACAGAACTCTTACGAACTTTAGAGAAATCTGTTGCACTTGTATAATTGTGAACGTACAAATATCGGACTACTGACACACAGTTCTTATAAAACTGTCTAACAGAACTTTTATATTCTTGGTGTTAGGACTGTCCTGTATAGACATGGCGTAAACTACTACTTATGAATCAAAAGTGATTCGATCACGTTCGTTCCCTATCACGCTGATTTTTCACAGTGATTCATGATTTTTCGTGCAGTTCTTTGCACGCGTAAATTTATAAATTCTTTTATTATCGTTTATTCTAATCTATATGTTACATAACATATATATTGTATAATTATAGCAAATTATTCTTTTATAATTTCTGTCTTTTCTACTGATTTTTAAAAACACAAGTAACAATGTAATTCCTTTTTCAAATCATATTGAATGTTTTTTTTTTTTAAGATAAAATTGCGATCACGATCATAAATGAAGTTAAATCACAATCGTAATCGTAACTCTGCGATCACTGTGATAAATCACTGTTAATGATTTTGTACGTCAACTCTAATCTTATACATCGTCTGTGATAATACTTGTTAATTTACCGACTACCGATAAGTAATATTAGATATTTTTAAACATAAAAAGTATTTACTTAATGAGATAATGTTTAATGAAACCACTAAATATATCTTAAAATCTGTTTAATAGAAATCAGAAACAAAATATAATTTACTAAATGTTATTTAAATGTTATATAGTGTTACATGTAAAAAGATGTCCACCTCTTCTAGTTTTATAGATTCCGTAAACATTTTCAAAAATGTTTAATCACAAGTAAGTTAGACAATTGTATTTAATAGGTAAAAAATAAAAATATATCAATTTGAAGCATACATTTCAGTTTATTCTTTGTCGATAAAAAATATATCAATGAAAATAAAAAAGAATGTTTCCGCCCGGGATCGAACCGGGGACCTTCCGCGTGTTAGGCGGATGTGATAACCACTACACCACGAAAACTATTAATATTGCATTTTTTCTTAATGTTGATAGGGAGAACAAAATTATTAAAAATGAGTAATAAAAATGGTTCCTATTTCATCATACAATATATATTAAAACTTAATGATATTGCGAAAACTGTATCCTATTATTATGTGTTTTGTTTGAAGTAGACCGTTATATAATACAGAATATACATACAATATTTTTATGCGACAATTTTGTTCATTTATACAAAACAGTAATGAATATTCGAATTCACTTCAAATTAATTTTCTCAAGAGACAAAAATGATTCCTAAGGAAGTTATCACAAATTTTATGGAGTTGCCGGATTTGTTAATTAATATTGCATGTAACTGGCAAGTAATATAGAATTTATTTATAATTAATAGAACAACTAACTTAATGTATTTAGGGATTATGTATGTAAGTACCTATTTTTTAAATTGCTACATGTAACATTAATTGAATTATAGAGATAAATGTATCGCGTTTCGCAATTTTTATTTTTAGAAGTATCTCCAACATGGATTTATCACAGGAAGTTTTTAAAATCTTATTAGATAATGATTCTTTAAGACAAAGTAACACTACCGTTTGGTGGTTTGTCTTTCTCGTTTTACGTTCTGTCAGTGTCCTTAAACTCTCAAACATGATTGAACTTTAACCTCCTGACTTACAATTCGAGTACTTGACCGTATTGTAAATTCAAAAATTACATGTGTGACATAAAATAGAGCGTTACTTTGAAAAGTTTGGTTCCAAATTTGACACTATAACAACAATGATAATGACAGCATTTACCAAGTAACACTTGTATATTGTAAATATAGATGTATATAGTCGTATAACAACTCGGGTTGTGTCACAATAATGAATACACGATTTGACTTTATATGTGACTCGAATTTTAACCTTGAAATTGAAAAATTTGATTGAACAATTAAGTCAACCATGAAAAATATGTATGTACGTGCGCTTGCGTGCGCATGCGCTCTGAAAAAACATTCCAATGTTTAATAATAAGCTCATATGCGATATTATTGTATCAACTAACATATTTTATTTTTCAGCTTGTAGCAGGAAAGTGTGAAACGATACTGCGAGCCTAAAGAACTTAATTTTGTAATATAATTTACCTTTATCATTATTTTAATGCTTTTTTACTTTAACGGAAACTTACTTGGAAATGTATTGCGTTCAGTCAACTTCAAGACAATGGTTATTTAATACACACCAATTGATGATAACGTATAGTACTATCTAAATGTACAATATTTAACGTTTTCTGTGTGTATTTAAGGATGCTAATTATGAAATTCCATTAATAACACAATTTTGTATGTATGTATACAAATAAAACAAATCAAAATAACACAATAATGTATGAATTAAAATTTTATATGTTTGCGTATAAAAATAATACATGGTTATATTATCCAATACAAAAAATGATTGCAATACATGTATAATTTCAAGAAGTTAAACTATGTTAATATTAAAATCGGTAATACTATAGGAGTGTAACAATGATAAAAGTTATTTTTATACTCGTTGTAATTATGTAAAGCAATAAGAAAATGGAATATGAGATTGTGATTTTGCGTATGATTCGTGTAGCACAAAGGAAAACCAAAGACCGCAATCGATCAAATGTCGTTACTTTATCAGAAATTCGTTTATCTGTTGTCGACATGTAAGTATCATACATAATTGTGTGTCGATAACAATTTTTCCGCATTGTCGAAAATAATTTTCTACTTGTTATTTTCATCTTTGTTCACCACCTCACAATTAATTACATTCTTCTAATCAGAACATCAATTTATGATTAGAAAGTAAAAAGTTGCGACACTATCAACAATCAAAGATGTTTGTTTAGTGTCGTACATTTTTTAAATGTACACCAACAGATGCCACCACAAACACTATCTGTTTCAACGAAAATCAATCCAACAGTCATTAATTAACAAATAGTTCTCATAAAAAAAAAACAAAAAAGTTCTCATAAAAAAAGGATATGCATAATTTTATTTAAATTTTAACGAAATTTTAATGTCTCACATTTTAAGAAAGCAACTATGTAAACTATCGAGTACCTTGTATGCCATAAGTAGGAAGGAAGTGCATATCACGTGACGGATATGCAACATTCCTATTGGCTATTCAGTGACATAGAAAGAAAGGGAATGATAAAACGTATCACTTAAAGAATGCGTATAAGCGCTAAGAACAGTCATTTGACAGTAGCGCCTGACGAATAAATCCTAAATAATTTTTCGATATTCCATTCAACTACGTTCTTGCGGATTTTGTTACGAGAGTAATTACACGTCATCGTCAAATAGTGTTGTGGATGAGAAAGTAACAAAGGAATAACGTAATTAAATCTTTACATTTACACTTGTACGCTTTCCACAACTGAAATCGAGAAGTGAAACGCTAAGATGAAGATTTTGATCGCGCTTTGCGCGATCCTTGCTGGTAAATATTTCGATTATTGTACATTTAACTTGATTCTTTTGTTTGTTCAGCTGCGACGTAATTCAGCGTTATTTTCTTTTCTTGTACTTTATATCTTTGTTCTTCATATTTGGAACCTAATTTTTTACGCCATAATTATTGAAACCTTATCGAAAACACAATATTATTATTGTACTTTGGAATCGTAACATTATGGAGATTATTTGGTTCAAAGATAGTTCATTATATATGTATAATTTGAAAATATGATATCAGTTTTCTTACATTGCTGCATCCAGTAATTGTATCCTTATTATTCACAAAAGATAGTATGTACTTGCTTATTCAGATGAATGGGATGAGTCAGTGCTTAACAATTGTTGTGGAATAGTTTATGGTTAACAGGAATATTCCAAACCATGCATTCACAAGTTGTTAGCTACATATCTTGCTTCAAATAAAAATCTTTATTTATTACTTTGTATTTATCATTTAACTAGCATTATTTGAAAACAAATGTGCTTATTTATTTTATTTAGTTTGATAAAGATATATGATATTGTTTACCTTATTATATATTGTTACTATAATAATATTTCATCATGCTTTTATGTATGCTTTAACATACATATGCTTTAGTATGCACAGCAAGGATAGTAATTAATGCTGAGGGACCAGCAAATCTTCATCTTTTGGGTGAACAGGAATGTACATGGGGACCTTCTTACTGGTGTGAAAATATTAAGTAAGTTTCATAAAT